TCTTTCAGGGGACAACAGGAAGCCCCAAAGGAGCCACCCTGTCTCACAGGAACATCGTGAATAATGCCAATCTGATCGGCCAGAGGCTGGGGATCACACAGCAGGTGGGTCATGGTGGGAACACAGTTTGGGGTGGTCTCTACTGCCACAAAGCGACCACATTGTGTGGAGAGCGTTGGTGCTTGCTCAGCAGAAGGGCAAGATGTTTTGCTATAAATGGAGTTAAGGGATACTCATGCATAATGTTTTTCATTTCATCGAATGTTTAATTTTAGTTTCACGTGGAATTTTTTGGGGGGAAAAAAAGACGCCTTTTTGTGGGGGAAAAATTGTGACATTAATCACTTTTCGTTTTGGTGAATACTCATTTCAGATAATTACAAGACTAGATGTTAGCTTTGCATTCTGTTGAATGAGGTTTTAATTTATTTTACGTGACTTTGTTTCATGTCATGTATACGGTCTCGTCAGGATCTGACCTTTCTATTTGTAGTTCCTTTTAAAAATTGTTAAAGGCAAATATTTTCTTTTGAAGTTCTGAAGTCGTTGTTTCTAACACAACAGCTTTGATCCGGAGAAAAGATGGGTTGTTTCCATCAGTCTTCAGAGCCTTTGGTGTTTTCAAAAAACAAATAAAATTAATAGCATGTGCCAAGTCCTGCATATTTCATGCTTGTCATAGCACTGCCACTCCTCTCTTCTGGCGTATCATAAAATAATGCGTAAGCAATACCAGACCAAAAAGTCCAGCAAAGAAAAGACATTGCAGAGTTACAGAATGAAATTTTGACATTGAAAACTTCCCAAACTGATTTGCATTAAAGGCAGGAAGCATCAGAGTCGTGTTTCCACCTAATGGGAGCACAGACGCGTTTCATCCCGATGCACGAAATCTGACAAAATGTCGTATTTCCAGCAAGTTTTAAATGAATTGGGGAAAACTCCTCTGTTCAGATCTCTTGAGTTCCAGCAGTGAGATGGGCTAGTCACGGACTGGAAGATCTCCTCTCCTCACCGTTGCCTTTGGCTCGATCCCAGGACTACCGCGTTGCCCTCCCCGCGCCCCTCTATCATTGCCTGGCGTCGGTCGGAGGCTGCATGGTGATGGCTCTGCACGGGTCCTCCTGCATCTTCTCGTCGCCGAGTTTTGAGGGGAAGGCTGCTCTGGAGGCAGTGTCTCAAGAGAAGTGAGAGTTTGTTTGTCTTGCTGCGGAGGATTTCATTGCCTCGTGGCGGTGCTTCCTTCCCTCGTCTCGCCTGCCAGGCCCTTGCTCACGCTCTGCCTTCCCACCAGGGCAGAGGCAGGTTCGCTGGTGCGCGTACTTGCACAGGCGCTTCAGAGCCGAAATCCTGCCTTTTCGTCTGCGCTTGGGAGTTTGTCGTGCTTCTCGTTTCCCCAAAATAAGGGATCCTTCGGGTCGCTGTAGGGCTTTGGCTGGGAAGCGTAGTGGTGTCTTGGTTTGCTGTGGTTGGTGTGTTTTTACGCCTCACCGCCTGCCCTCCTTCTCCAAGCCAGCTCTGCTGCTGAGATAGTTGCATTTCCAGCTTGTTCTTCACGTGTAGCTTGTCAAACAAAAGAGCTATCATCGTGTCTGCATAATACACACATATATATGCATTTATACGTACATTTTTATACATATATATGTGTATATGCGTGGATGATGAGCACATCTGCTGTGTCCGCCTCTGTGCTGCTGCTCTGCGGCCTCGTGCGCGATGGGATGGGACGTGGTGGGTGCTGAGCTGGGGCTGCCTCTGGTCCCAGCTCTGCAGCTTTGCCTTTTCTCTCCCCTTCCTGAAGATGCTCCTTTCTACTCGGCACGCCAACCATGTTTATAGACATGCTCTCCCAGCCGGACTTTGACTCCTACAACCTGTCAACTCTCCGGGGAGGTAAGTCTGACAGCTCAAATGGAAAAATCCCGAGAAACTGGATATTACTGGCTCCCTGCTGGGAGGCTGCATTCAGCTTTGTGAGCAAATCGCTCCTGTGGAGGGAAGAGTTTAGTTGCACGAGCCTTGTGTTTGACTGTTCGTTTGATGCTACATTTCCATTCCTTGGAGTTTCCTTCAAGTATTATGCATTTTAAAGATTTCTCTCATCTTAAAGCAGATTTTTCTGTCTGCTAGATGGGGGAGCTGGGAAGCCTGGTTTTGCTCGACTCTGGTCTCACCAGCCACCACCGTGTGGCAGCAGATGCTTTATGTGCTTCAGGCTGTTCGATCCCTAAAGCAGAGCTACGCTGTGATTTCTCTGACCTGAAGTTTCCTGCTTGTTTTTGAAGTCACTCATCTGAACACTGGAGAGGGTGCGATAGCATGTGCTGGAGCTCTCTCTTGTCACCGACAGCCTTGGAAATAGCTGAGCTGAAATGGGGAGACCATCAGCCCTTCTGAGGCAATAACAGCACGGAGAGAAGATGGTGCTGGAGCATAAACATCTAAGCACATTGCCCGGTCATCTCTGCTATGTGAAAAATGATCCTGTCTCACCTCGTTCCCCAGCAAAGCCTGTATGCTACCCCTCTCGTTGTTCTGTTATCCTAGGACAGAACAGACAGAAAATGTGGTCTGCCCTCTCCCAAAAGGCCTGCACTGTGCAAGGCAGGAGGAAAGGTTTTTGGGTTTATGGTGGTGGTGATCGATGGGAGTGTTTGTCCTGCTAAAAGTCCGTGCCTCTTTCTGCTCTGAATCCTTCCTTTTCGGGAACGGTGGGTTGGACGAGGTTTGCGCTATGGAGTTTATTTTCCTAACGAGTGAACTCTGCCAACCCTTAATTCGTTCAGGCAAACTGACCTTGCTGCAGCCTTTGCTTCTAGAATAACTAGGACCTGCATTCACAAAAATAGAAAGTATTTTGACGGGAACCGGTGTATCCCAAAGGTCTTGCCAGCATTTAAATCTGGGAGTGCAGGACCTTCTGAGGAACCGCTCCTGGGAATAAATAGGTGGTTTCCACCAAGACGGTCATCTCTTCCTCTTTCTTCCAGGAGTCATTGCAGGTTCCCCTGTTCCCCCTGAGATCATGAAGAAGATTATCACCAAGATGCACATGCCAGAGATTGTGGTGAGTCGTGGTTGCTGTGACTAAAGCTACAAATGGTGTTTGTCATGGCGAGACCTTGAGTTTGGGCATCTCTGCACCACAGCGGTACCTGGTGGTGCCAGAGCTGCTGGGATCAAGCATGATGGGACTGTGGGTTCAAGGCCAGGCTGGGGAGTGAAGGTGTAGAGGGGCTGGGAGGAAGAAAGGGGGTTCTGCCTCGTTGTTGGTGGGGTGTCTGGGGAGGAAGCTTTGTAAGAAGAGAAGACGTTGCATTCGGTGTCATAAACTGAGTTTTTGCTGGTGCATTTCAAAGCTTTTATGAACTTTCCTGTTGTACGTGCTGCAAGGCTGAATGAGTACAGAAGAGGCATTGCTGTTTGTATTGGTGTGGGCGAGTGCATGTGTTCATCTTGCCGCAGAGCTGCCGGCTTTCTTTCACCATCCTGGGCTGCATGCAGATGTAAGGCCTTGTTGCTTGCTATGTGTTTGAGGCCGAACGTGGGAACGGCGCCATCCACACATGCAACACCAGGCACTGCGCTGCCAGAAGGGCAGCACGTGTCGCCACACGTGCGCTGCTGCTCCACCGCATGTCCCTGCACCCTTGGCCTGTGCAAGAGCCTCAGCCTGTCCTGCGTGTGGAGGGGGACAGGCCACCGGCGAGGGCATCCGCGGCTCTCCGGGCTCTCCACGTTTTGTAGGCAGGTCCTGCCATCTGCATGTGTGTGCCTGTGAGTGAATGGCTGAGCCAAAAAAGGACTTTTTCGGTTTACTTTAAAGGAAATCACTTTGGTGCCACGCTACTTGCAAATGCTGAGGAAGGGGACTGTTGTGATGGATAAACGTGGGGCTGGGAGTCAGATTAGGCGTGTTGTTGTTGGCAGACCCGGACCGTGCCGGCACCGGGGTTTTACAGGGACAACTGTGTGATCTGCTGCAAAACAGGGGAGTCCAGGGCATCTGTCCTGGCACCGTCTCTGAGGCGGCCAGGGGATGTTCCTGGATGTGATTCTCTTAATGCCGAGCTGAAAACACCAGGGAGAGCCCTGGTGCCATTGACTGGACCCTGCCAGGTAACAGATACCTACTTTTTCAGAAGGCTTGAGTTTGGCCTCACAAAACGTTTTCAGATGTTACTGCAAGTGCTCAGGACTCATTAGGTGTCACATGTTCCTGCTTTGTAGAGAGAGAAATAATAAAACCCTCCCAAACAGTTGCTCTGCCCATAGGATAAAGAGGATTAAGTCTATATTTGTGCCACTGGTCCCGTGTTACTTCTGATCCCCCAGCCCTCAGGCAGACACAGGGAGACTTGTTGAATTCATCTTTGCAGCAAGAGCTTTATACAGAAGATGTACATAAGAAAATATACAATTTGATTTCTATATAGGAGACAGAGGAGTTTTCATCCTCTTAAAGGTCATTTACACTCAGTTACAGAGGAATAAATATACATATATTTATATAACTCTTTAGGATTAAAAAACGCAGTTAAGTTGCAACTGTGGTATTGTAATAGCCGTGACAATAAACCACAGTCATCCTGGTGTCCTGCTAGATCCTCTGGAGTATGGGCAGAGAGAAGAGGGGGGTGCCCAAGCCAGGCTGCACGGTGCACACCTTCTCTCGGACGTACATGCATCTTGTTAGAGCCCACAGAGTGGGAGGGAATCCAGTCTTCAGATGGCTCCAGTTTTGGGGTGTCCCAGTACTGCTTGAAGGATTTCTGGCCGACCTAGAGAGATTGTTGTCCTTTGGCGTGAAAGGGTAGCTCGGTCTCGAGGCCACCGGTTCTTGGTCATTGCTTCACCTAACCCCCTCAGCCCTGGCCTGCAGGGATCCCCTCTGTGGGAAGGCAGAGGAGTCTCTTTGCGTGGGTTGAGACCAATTTTCCTGATCAAGCAGCTGGGGGAGGGATCCTCCTACCTTCCCATTTGCTTCCACTCCACTGGAAGGGGAGAGACAGCGACCAACCGGTTGATCGGGGCCGTGGATTGTGTTGCCTCTGGGAAAGATGACTGTGTTTTACCGGCAGGATCTAGGTTAGCTTGTCTTAGTATGGTCATGCATAGTTTAGTTTTTAAAAATGCCTCTTTTAAAATATATAGATGTCGGAAAAGATTGAAAAGGTGGATTCCATCCTGCGATGAGCAGAGAAGCGGGGATTCGGAGGAGGCTGGAGGTGTTTGGATATATCAGAAATGTTTCCTGACAGGTAGGAGAAGCTTAAGGAAGGACTCAGAAGTCAGTAGTTTTCTGATGGTTGAAGCGACCAGTCACCAGGACCAGCCATACCGAGGCCTGCTAAGGGGGAAAAAAAAAAAAAGAGAGAAGGCTGCATGTTTAAGGGGATTTTTCAAGCAGATCAGTAAACTTCTAGCATTTGACTGTTTATTTTTGCAGTAAGTGAATGAAGCCCATACTTAGCCCATACTTGAAAGTGAAGAGTTAAGAGTCAAGGAGCCCTTACGAGTTTCCACAGTAGAGGAGATGGGTTAGTTCTGTTCCTGACCTCTTCTGCCTACTCACTATGTGACTCTGGAGTATCTAACCCAAGGTGTTGATGGTCAGTGAGCTCTTCCTTCACAGAGGAAGAAACCCAAGAGTGAAATTTTCAAGAATAGTGAATTATTTCGGTGCCCTGGTTCTGAAAATCCAGAGCAGGTAGATTTTTAGAAACTGCCAAGCAGCTTTTTGTCTGAAGTGTGGTCGGTGACCCAAGTCACGGGTCGTCCCTGAATTGCAGACCCCCATAGCTGCCTGGCTCTCAGGAGGTGCACAATGAAGTCAGAGGTACTTCATATTCCTTAAAATCATGCTTACCACACTTTAGTGGGTTTGTGTGCCTGCATTTTGCACTGACACTTGAAGGTACAAAGCTTTGTCTCCTGCAAGACTGGAATAGTTGTCTGTTTCATTAACACTTGTAAAGCTGTTTGAGAGAGCTGGATGGAAGGTGCTATAGAAAAAACAGGTATTATTGTCATGGTTTTCTTACTCTCATCACAGAGTGAACAGGAATTGAGTTCAGGCAGGGAGAGAAGAAGGTTAAGAAGGGCCAGACCTGTAATAAAATACATTTAAGTATTGTGGTCTAGAGAACTGAAGTTTTTCCGTTCTTTGAGCGGAACTTTACCCGCCCTATATGGAATGACTGGTATTTCCATCTCTAATCCATAAAACCTCTGGCACTGCAAGAGAAATAACCGCTTTAGGAAGGCGCAGAGCAGCTGGCATCATCGTTGACATTTTGGTCATGAATTTACTTTCCCCATCCTGTTATACATCTCCTTAGTGAACTGGGGACCAAATGGCCATAACTGGGCTTTGGGCTTCTGCCTCATCCTTTCTGTTATGACAACCCTTGTTCATACAGTGCAGTGCAGGGTCACTGCACTTTACTGAACAAATGAGCAAAGGTGCCTTTCCCAGGAGCTTGCAGACTTGCAGGCTCATCCAAAGTCCTTTGGAATCAGTACAAGCTCCAGACCTATTCCTGGGACAGGGAAAAGGGAAATGCTTGGGATGGAGTGATGACAGTTGTGGCTTTTTTTTTGCTACTCTCTGCGCTGAATTTAATACTCTTGGTAGTTTCCAGTTGTGGAAGGTGTTTGTGTGATAGGTTTTACCAGCTGGTGTTTGGATTGGTAGATGTCAGCAAGCTCATTGCTCAAGGAAAAGTCAGCCCTGTCTCTGAATCACCTTCTGGCCCAGAACATTTTATTCAAAGAATATTTGCTGTCTCAAACCTCCCTCTTCTGGGACACTCATTTGAAGGCATCAGCCCTTGTTTTTAAATACCTGAGCGTCTTGGATGGGAATTGTAGTTGCTGAAAGGCAGGTGCTGGACCAAGAACTGCTCTTTATGTTAGACATCTATTTTCATATGGGCTGGGGAGCCTGAGGCCAGATTTCCCAGCAATGTCCTGCCCTGGATTTCAAACCAGACCCAGAAGAGCTTTACTAGGGCAAAAGGCTGAGCATCTCCAATCGGTTAGAAAAGTAAAGCATGTGTGATCCCAGCTCAGGGTAAGAGTGGGCTAAGTCCACCCTTGTTTTGAGACTTAATTACATGCTTCACCCTTAATTGCTGCCTCAGGCCTGTCTTCAGCCCCATGGTTGTTTCACAGCGTGGCATCTCTGATGCTCCAGGCAGATTCTGTGCTCTGGGAGCCCATGGAGCCCTGAAGTATTGCCAGGAGATGGAGCAGCTCTGAGCAGAGGTGTTGGTGGGTGAATGCGTGACCTGTTTTGAGCCAAACCCTGGCGTCACTGAAGTCAGAGACAGAAGTCCCCGTACCTTTGGTGGCATCAGGGTTTGCTGTAGGCCTGGCTAAAAGCGAACCATCTTACGTGTTTAATGGCGGCTTCCCTTCTTGGACCTCTTGGTGGGGAGCTTGCAGGTGCGGAGGGCCGGGGTGTCTCTGATGGACTGCCCCCGGTACTGCGCGGGCGTAGAGCAGGTGTCCTCGGTGCGGGTGCGATTGCCCTTCAGCCACCTGGGACAGGGGGAGGAAGAGGACCGCCAGCTCACAAGAGGCACAAACCACCATGGACATCACTCGGGCCACGAGCGGAGAGGGCAGGCTGGGGAGAGAGCTGCTGAGCGCGGGTGCAGCCTTCAGCAGCTTCCTCTCGCCTGGCACAGCTCGGGGGGGGGACGGGGATGGGGACGGGACCCCCAAGGAGACCCCGGGGAGGGAAGGGGTGCGTGGTGCCGTACTTGCGCAGATGTGCCAGCTGGCAGTTGCAGTGCCAGGCGTTTCGGGAGAGCGTCAGCGTCTCCATTTTGTCGAAGGGGAAGTTGCGGGGCAGCTGCGTGAGCCGGTTGTTCTCCAGGTGAGCGGTCTTCAGCACGGTCACGCCAGCGAACGCGTTGTCTGCAAACTGAAGCACAGAGGTTTACGGTGAGGAACACTGAGTCAGGGAAGGGGACTTCCAACCGGAGTGCCTCTGCTCAAAGCTTTATGGAGGGAGGCAGAGAAGGAGGCGCGGGGCGGGAAGGATCCTTGCCGGCAGCCCTGGACGCCTAAAAGAGGCATCAGGCTGGTGGGCGATGGAGTCTCCTGCCTGAAGAGAGCTATGTCCCAAATCCATGTGGGATTGTGTTTGCAGCCACAGCCCTAAATAAAGTGAAGTCTGGCAGCCCTCTTTATTTTTGAGCCATGCTTCTCCATTCCAAATGAAGATATTTTCTGGGTGTATTCCTTTCCAAGGCTGGAAACCCTCCCAGCGCCTGTTGCCTTGCCTGTCCTGGAATGGCTGAAGGAAGGAGTGTTTGTGGCGTCTGAAGGGGCTGTAGACTTTGGCAGTGCCCGGGGACTCCGAGTGGAAAGTTACACTTGGCATCTGAGCGGCATAGAAATAGAGGCAGGTTTCCAGCACCTCAACCTCCTCTTGTTTTTTCTCATTTCCATCGAGTTGTTTGCAAGGGATGCTGCAAGATTTGTCTTTTCTCGATTAATGGGCAGGCTTTAAGGGAGAGCCTGCCTTAAAAAAGCTGCCAAAGAGAGGAGAGAAGCTGTAGACCCAGCTCTGCAGCCCTCTCCTCTCTTCCCTGAGGCCTCATCCCTGGCTTTTTTCATCCCATGGTTACTCAGGTTGGAAAGTTTCTTCGTGAAAGCAAACCCTTCAACACAAACTTCCTTGGCGGTGATGAGTTGGAAAAGGGGGTCATTGACAAAGGACAAAGCTCCTCTTGGCTCTGACAAGCCGTTTCTCCCCCTTCTCAAAGTGGGGGGGAAAGCTTTCTCTAAAGGGTAGAGAGGAGACTCGCTAGGTCTACCAGAACACCCCCCCCAGTCAAGGACCTGTGCTCCCATTTCTGACCCAGAAGCTTGCACTTCAGATGGGACCATCAGGGTGCGTTCAAGCTCTCTAAGCTGAAAAGGTTGTCAGAGGAAATGCACTATTTTAAGCTGTGAACTTTTGTCATCTTCCAAATTAAGCAATGTTGGATAGGATTAGAGCTTAGCTAAGAGACTCCCCGAGTACTGTAGTTGTTGGACAGTCAACGGTGCTGGCCTCAGCGGTCCAAAACTGAGCTGACCTTGCTAGGTTTTACTGAGCTGATAGTGGAGCTGCTCAGAGAGGTGCTGGCACGCTGTGCAGCAGCGGGGCGGTAGCCTGGCCACATTCTGGTTTGGACAGTGGTGTACTGTCTCAGCTGCTCATTCCTCTCCCAGCCCCATGAGAAGAGTTTGCATCTGCTGGTTAACAGCTGCTGCGCTGCCTGCCAGAGCACGTGTTTGTAAAGAAATGGGTGATTTTTCCCTTATTTAGCTGGAGGATTGCTGCTGTCGTTTATTTTGTGTTAAATACGTAGAGAGGGCCGTACGTAAAGCTTCCAGGATCTGCATTGCCCGGTTTCATACTGATGTACGTGGTGGGTCCTGACCTGTGCGACACAGCCCTGCAGGTGACTGGTGTGGGTCTGGGATGCTGGTGGGGAAGGGGAGCCGTGTGCTGGAGCTGCAGAGCAGCCTGAGGGCTCTCCTCGTTCTGCTCAAGTGCAATATAGGCTGGGATAGCTTCATGTGGAAGGGTTTTGCACTTGATCTGCTCGAAAAATCTTGCAGCCATGCAGGGAACAGCTAAGGACAGTATTTTTGTGAAGGAGAAAGAGCTGCAGTCAAGATGCCAGCGACATTTAAAGTATTTGGTAGGGATTTCCTAGGTCATGAGGCCTCTGTGATTAATATCTCCTAGCAGTGCAAAGTTCATGCGTGGGCTATTTGGATACGAGGCCTTTGAGGATTTGAAGAGAAAACTCTGAGCTGGGAAGGGAGCTTTGTTTTCCTGAAAAAGAACACAAGCCCTAAAGCTGCAAAAGCCACCCCTGCTAGTGCTGATCCTGTAAACTGGTGTCTTATTGGGCTGTTGGGGAGGAAAGGAGCCATCTGGCTGCGGAAGAGCCTTTAAAGGTCCTGTCCACAGGTGGTCACTGAAAAGAAGAAAGTCTTTTTTGTTGGCCAGAATTGTTAACCTTTCCTTTTTTGGCCAATCCAAGGGCACATAATTCCCTAGGGCACCACAGCATCATGGCTTAGTCTAATTTCTTCAGGGTATAACTTTGGACTCCGATGTCTCTACAGCTGGTACAACATTTAAGCTGTAATTTTTGACCTGTGCATGATGAAAGTGCCTTAAGACTGAGCCTACAAAAGTGCTGTGACAGCATGTCTAAGGTCTTGCCTAGAGAGGTCATTAGATCATTTTCAATTTTGCTTGAAACCTGGAGAGGTTAGTGCTGAGAGTGGACAAGGGCTTAAATTCTAACCGAGTGCTATGAAGCTGTTTTGTTTTGTTTTCCACCTGGGCAAGCTGTAATTCCGGTTTTTGAGCATTTTGGGATGCTATATCCCCTTGAAAACTCTGATGTGCTCCGTTCCTGGTAGCTTTCAGGTGATCTGCTCATCCCTGTGGGGCCCTCTGAGCTGCTCAGTGTTGCTAAGAAGCTCTCTTTTTCATCACGTCTTCCTGCATGTGGTGGGTGTTGCTTTGCCGTGAAGTCCTAGCCTGCCTCACCTAGATGCCCTTTGTCTTCGGGCTTCCCAGCAAAGCATCATCCCAGGGAGGACGGTCCTGCTCCGCTTGCAGCACCCTCCCTTTGCAGCCACGTGGGGTGCCCCTAGGACATCAGGCTGCAACAGGGTGCTCCCGCTCTTGCAGCAGCTCTGTGCTTGTTTCTGTTCTTGCACTGCCTGGCATTTCAGAGGTCCTAAGGGAAGTGATTCCCCGAGTGTGGTGCTCCTACAGATCATGCTTTCCCACAGAAAGAGAAGGGGGTTGTTTTGCCATTCGGGATACCCAGATATCCCTCCTCGTCTCCAGTGGGAACAGGGCCCCTTTGTAAGATGCTGCGAGAGCTCCTTTTGAGAGGACATCAATAAACAAACCTGTCTTTATAATGTGTAAAGTTGGGAGGCGTGGGGGGAGGTGAAGGTGAAGGTCCGTATGCCTACCTGTCTGCAAGGGGTGGGCAAGAAACCGCTGCTATTCGTAGCCCCTCCCGAGGAGCCTCCTCCCCCCAAGCGACACCAGGTACCCAGGCTGAACGAAGGAGGCAGAGCGGTGAGCTCTGCAAGGTGGCAGTGCCCTTCAGTCCCTCGAGTACAAGGCGGATGCTCGCCTCTCACCCCGCGCCTCGTGTCTGGGATGATGGAAGGTTGCTAATTGTCCTGGAGCTTGGGAGGGAATGCGCTGCCTTTCCAAGGAGTTTGATCAGCTCCAGATAATTTGGTTTTGCATAAAATAACTCAACGGAAGGGTGGAGTACTCTCTCTCATCCCTCACTTGAGCCGTGTCAGGAGTGTTGTCAGCTGGCCAGTGCCTCGCTGTCTGCAGAGCCTGCAGACCTGCGTCTCCCCTCTCCTCTGCAAGGGAGGGACAGCAAACCAAGGGCTTTGTAAAGGAGAAGCCCCATGTTTCTTATCTGGAACAAAAGGAAAGAGACTCACCTTCTTCAGTTTCATGTTGTCCAGGTTGAGCGTCTGCAGGTACCGCCCGAAGGACTGGAAGGCATTGTCAGGGATGACCTCAATTGGGTTATGAGAAAGCTTCAGTTCCTCCAGCACTCTCAGCTTACTCATTGCATTCACAGGATAGCTGCTGAGCTGGTTCTTGTCCAGGTGGAGGACAGCGAGGTTTTCTACGTCCTCCAGGGCCCCGGGCAGGAGGTTGGTGAGGGAGTTGTCAGAGAGGTAGAGCCAGCGCAGGTCTTTAGCACCATTGAAGACCCCTGGTTTCAGCTCCCGGATTTTATTGCTGCCTAAATGCAGGATGAAGAGGTTGACAAGAGGGGAGAGGAGCCCTTTGGGTAGGTCTGGGATCTTGTTCTGGTCCAGGTACAGGTAGGTGAGCTCAGAGAGGTCATCGAAGGCTCCTGGTTTTATGACATTGATCTGGTTGTCAGTGAGATAGAGGTAGACCAGGCTCTTGAGCCCCCGGAAGGCTCCGGTTGAGATCTCCTTGATCCGTGAGCTCTGGAGGTGCAGCGACACCAGCTTTTTCATGTCACGGAAGCCGTTGGTCGGCAGGACGGGGAAGTTGTTCTTCTGCAGGTTGAGAAGCCGTGTTTGCTCAGGCACCTTGGGGATCTTCTTCAGCCCCGCGTTGTCGCAGATGACATGCTGCAGGTCTCCGCCGTGGCAGTGACAGCTTGGGGGACATGCTTGCATGATGGAGGCAAGACATGCCAGTAGGCTGAGGACACCGAGGAAGAAGCCTGACCGATTCATGGTCAGATCTGGAATTAGTGTGGTGGGAAGAGAAGCAGCAAGAGGAGGAGGGAGATGGGTGGGAGAGAGAGAGTAACTGGGTTTGCAGCATGCTAAACACAGCCCTATTTATAATGTTATTAAAAAGCAAAATCCCTTCCCACAAACCGCAGGCAGCAGCCAGTTGGAAACAACTGGCTTTGGGAACTTACTGTGAGCTTAACCCCTTGGCACCAGGCAGAGGAGTGTCCACGGTCCTGCCTGGCCCCGCTGCCGAAGCGACTGTGCAGAGGTAGTTTTCCTTTCTGCAACAGGGAGGCAAATGGTCAGGAAGAACAAACGCAGACCTGCTCTGTGGGGAACCTCTCTGGGCCCTGCTGAGCTCAGCAGGGCCCAGATTCATCAGTGAGGGGAAAAACAACCTGTTTTGGATGAACGGCATAGCAGGGAGCACTCCTGTGCTCCACAGCCACCTCGTGCTGAAGCTTTCAGCAGCCTCCTGGGCTGTATTTAGCCTCTGCCGGTTTGGGGAGAAGCACCTTGTTCTGTTATCACAGAGGAAGGTTTTGGGGAGGTCTTGTCTGGTTGATTTCGAAGGAGTTTGGCTGAGCAGGGATGGGAGAAGATGGGAACGATACGGGGTCATGCCAAAGGCCAACGGCGCTATAGTTGCTCTTGCAATGCAAAATTTTGGTTGAAGACTTCCAGATCTAGACTTTAGGTAGGAGCTGGCCAAGAAAAGGAGAGCAAAGACAGTTTTAATTTCTGCTGTGTCTTTTCCTCTGAGCAGTCAAGTGCGGCACATGCATGGTCAGGGTCAGGAGACCTGCGTGAGGGGGTTTTTTTCTCGGCACGTGCCACCGTGGAGCAGTGGCTGTTGCCTTCCCACAAGGGATGGGGCAGCAGCGGAGCCTGCAGGGATGTGGTGGAGCATGGGCCAGTGGATATGGAATGCTGGACAGTGGTGCCCTGCTGGGTGCCTGGCTCGGATGAGGTGAATGGCAATGCCTGCGGCTCTCGAGATGAAGCTGTGGAGGGGGAACGGCGTGGGCGTTGGTGAAGGGATGGCGAGGTAGCAGAGCAAGGAAATCCCTGCTGGAGCTGGGACTAGGGTCTGCCTTGGCTCCTGTCTTGGGGTAGCACTGGCAAAAGTGAGTTAACAACACAGGGGACGTCCTCTGCTCTCCCAATAGAGAAGCCTATAGCAAAGCGGTTAAAAGCCCCATCGCCTGCTTCTGTGAGTGTGAAGAGAGAGATCCAGGGGTTGTGGGGTGGGGTTTGGAAGTGGAACATTTTGAACTGATTTCCAGCCAGTTCCTGGCTGCAGCAAACAGCTGAGCGCCGAGCACATAACTGTGAGCTTGTTGAGATTTCTGCTCCCGAGGCTGGCTACAGAGCCCCAGCGGAGCTTTTGCAGAGGCGAGACAGGCTCAAGAAAGGGAGGAAATCCAAGGGCTGACTTAGGACACAGACTGGCTTATTCACCGAGATTTCTGGGTTTTTCCATTGTTGCAACGAGGAATTAGCCAGCGCCGCCGAGCATGCTCCGGAGGGTGTTATGCAAACTGCTTGGCAGCCCGCGCTCTGGTCAGCAGCTGTCAGTCTGAGCGGTGTTTTCATTGCATGACAAATTTAGGGGAGAAAAGGAGCTTCTGGGGTGTGAATGTAGGTTCTGGTGAGCCTGTGGGGCAGATTGGGTTTGCCAAACGATGATGTAATGTGGGACCTTGGTGCAAACCAGGCCATGTCAGGCTTCCAATGTTTGTCAGCCCTGAGGTGCAACGCCCTGCTGTCGAGCAGCCGGGGCTCACCACTCGCCTCAGCACCAAGTGCTTCTCCTGCCTCATCTCTGGAGAGATGCTCTGACTGTAGGAGCTCCAGGCTCCTGCTGGGGGGACCTCCCGCAGGACTCACCACTGTAGTTACTGTAGGATTTAAAACTCTTTGATCACAACAATGGTACTTTTGCCTGTGCCTGATTCGGTAGGCACCACAATGGTCATGCACATACTTTGATCTCTGGAATAGCTCTTTGAGTGTCTTTTTCAGGACCTTTGAGACAGTGAAAAAGGAGGTAGACAGAAGTACACTCCGTGTTTTCCTCCTTTGCCTCTCCAGGTTGCTCAGGACTGAGAGTGCTCCTTAAGTGTGGGCTGCTCGTAAAGCTCGGACAGGGAGCTGGGTGAATGATTGGAAAATAAAAAAATTAGTATCTAAAGCATCCTCTTCTGTCCAGTGATTGATTTTGTTGTTTGTTTGTTTGTTTTTCTCTCTGAGCAGGTTCAACCGCCTTAGTCTTACTTGTAATCATTTGATGAACAGTTCCTGTAGTTACCTACCAGCTATACTGTGCAAGAACAATTGACGGGTGAGATTTAAAATCCAGCCTGTTTCTGCTGGACACTGAAGCTAGGTAGCGTATCTGTGCTCCCTCCCGAGTGCAGCTCATGTCTGATGCTTGGTTTTCCCATCCCCTTGCAAAAAATACCAGCTAACAGCTTACGGCTTCTGCAGAGATTTCTGCCAGCGTGGGTCAGATTGGAACAAAAAAGCTGGTGAGGGCCTTGCAAACTCCATCCATAAATACATCCCACCCATGTATATTTCTGGAACAAGACCCTTTTCAGAGGTTAAACTGCCCAAACCTCAAACCATCTTCTCTCCTTTCTTCCTCTGAGGATAAATTTCCCTTTCTTCCACCCTTTTTCTGTTTGCTGGCTGAGACTGCAGATTGTGGGGGACAAGGACAGTCTCCCTGGAGCAATGTGTGTGCTGTGGACACAACTGAGACCCGTAGCTTCCTTGTGAAGATGCCGTGATGTAGCTGCCACGATTCTGGTGCAAGGTGGGGAGCTGTCCCTACCCCAAGGGCTCCCCTCCAGCCCAGCGCCTGCAGCAGAGGTTAGGTGGATGCCGGGTTATTTTCGGTCCCACGGTGGGGTGGCAGCAGGGCAGTGCTACTGGGGGAAAGGTGTCTGCTTCTTAGCTCCATTTCTCTAGACACAAATCTTGAATAAAAGGAAGTTCTTTCCCCTAATGTTTTTTTGATTTCCATGCCTCGGTGAGCACATTCCTGTGGTGGGAGCTGGTTGGCATCTGCCAGAGCTGGCACCTCGCCCCTGGGCTCCTGGCTGTTTGTGTTTTGAGCTGCTTGCTGGCAGGGTCTGATCTTCCCACACTGGGTTTCGCAGCCCTCGACTCGCCAGCAAACGTCCAGCGATCCTCAAAAGCTCACCGGGGTCCCGCTCATGGGTGGCTCGCAGTCTGGCGGTGACAATGGCAGCAGTGTCAGTGTTCCCTCTGCTGCGGTGGGATACCACAGCGGGCTGGGTCCCATCCAGCCCCCTACCTCACAGGTCCCCTTGGACCAGTGCCGCTAGGACATTGCAGAAGAGGCAGGATTATCCTGCCATCTTCTCCTTCTTAATTGATTAACAGTTCTGCAAACATTCCCGGTGCCTGGTAATTTGCAGAAGCTGGACTCCCCTTCTCTCCTCCTTGGAGGCATTGTGGGCTAAGCAAATAAATAAGGTTTTGGAAACAGTCTAAATATAGATTTGGGGTGTTTCTTTGGTGCTGCAGGTCAGAGCTGTTTTGATACAACTTTGGAGATGGTCTTTTCCATGTTTAATCTTTATTTTTGTTAGTATTAACAATTCTCGCGTGTCAAGACAGCTGCACGTGTGTTACTCCGTGTTAAAATATTCCATTGCCCACTTAAGCCTTGTTCTGTGGCCATTAAGGGGATCCCGATCTAGTTTTGCGTGTCAGTGCACGGTAGCAATCATCTTCTTGAAGTGGCGCCATTGGGGTTGGCCTTGGGGCCCGGCTGGAGGCGAGGGCAGCTTGTGGGGGTGCCCTGGGGTGCACGTGCTGTCCCCGTTGGCAGCCTGCACAGCACCAGCTCTTGCGGAGCTGAGCCCCTGCCTCTGCCTGGCACGGGGTGCTGAGGAGGGAGCAGGGTGGGAGAAGGTGCAACTCTGCAGTGTCCCAGGGGGGTGGTCCCAAGCATGGAGCACCTTCCAGGCAGTGTTTGAGGAGCCCTGGTGGGTGGGCAATGGGGACCTCCAAAGGGTCTCCAGGGTCCCCCCTCTTCCAGGCAGTACTTGAGAAATCCCTGGCTTTTAGTGATGTGCATCAGTGACAGCGGCACCTGAGGCTCAGAGCTGAGGCCCAAGTTACTGTTTCTGTTTGAAGGGTTCCTTTCACTGTGGTGTGGGGGCCCAGGCTGCTTGTCGAGCTGGAGGAGGTGCTGGTGGGTGCACCTCCTTCCTTCTGATGGTTTTCTTCCGTTGCAGCATGGCCTCCACCCATTGATGTGTTGCCAGTTTGGCTCCCCGTTGATGTCCACCCACCCTTTCCCCTCTGTCTGATCCCGGCAGCTGCTGCCGTGATGCTCTTGGCCTCTGCTGTGAAGCTCACCCAGCCCTTGCTGCCTCTCCCCAGCCCTGCCACGTCCACCCTGCGAGGCACCGGGCATCCCCTAGCAGCCCGCTGATCTGCCCAGGGCTGCTGTCCTCTCTGCAGCCCTTGTAGGCTCTGAAGAAGAGTGGAGCTTTCTTCCCTTGCAGAACACAACTCACCCATGACTTCTGACTTCCCCAAATTCTCCCCAGCCATGAGTCCCTCCCTGTTCCGAAAATGGAAAATCAGCTTCACACGGGGACAACTTCCCTGCTTGTCTTTGGGCAAAGTGAGACCTCCCCATCCTATCCCACCTCATTTTTGAGGACCTGATGAGTAGGTGGTTTCTGTAGCTGCAGAAGCTATGGGAATGAGAATATTTAAAATGCAGCGTGGAAGCAACGAGATCCTGGACTTCCAGCCACGTCTTTGGCGGGAGCTGATCTCTCCAAATCTGTGGGGATGTTACCTTTGCCCCTAAGTTTTTTTTGCTCCTTCTCCAGCAGCCTTGAGCATTCAGGTACCCCCAAAGCAGTGGTTTTCTACCTTTGCAAGACACACCTCTCTGCACATTTCTTCTCACTTTTTTCCTTTTAATTCCACTTTTCCTAAATGCATTGGCACCCAGCGCCAGGGAGGGTGGAGTTAATTACATAGCAAAGACCTTT